GTGGAACTTACTCCCTTGAGAGGATCACAAGTTGGGTTGCCAGGTGTCAATGGTCTCTCGACTGAGCAGCGCAAGAGGTTAACAATTGCAGTCGAGCTCGTAGCGAACCCTTCGATAATATTCATGGACGAACCAACTTCAGGGCTTGATGCTAGAGCTGCTGCAATTGTGATGAGAACAGTCAGGAATACAGTAAACACAGGAAGAACAGTTGTGTGTACCATCCATCAGCCCAGTATTGATATTTTTGAGGCATTTGATGAGGTAGAAATGTTGATAAATTAGGTTAGATCACAGGAATTTCGGTTCTTTTACATTGCTTCAAATGCTAAAATAATCGCGGTTTTGCAGCTATTTTTAATGAAACGAGGAGGACAAGAGATATACGTTGGTCCTTTGGGTCATCAATCGTCTCAATTGATCAAGTACTTTGAGGTAATTTGTAAGATCAAACAAGAAGAAATTGTTTTTGGTGATTTGGTTTCAAATATTGAAGAACATTTACCTTTGTATTCAGGAGGTTCCAGGAGTACCTAAAATCAAAGATGGTTATAATCCCGCAACTTGGATGTTGGAAGTTTCTGCTTCATCACAAGAACAAATGTTGGGGGTCGATTTTGCTGAAGTATACAAAAACTCAGACCTCTATAGGTTAGTCGTTCACATTAAAATTGATTGGTCAAGAATTGGAAGGTTTCTCGTCAAAGATTTGATAAGATATCTTATTCTGGACAAAAAATTACAGTTTATAATCTATTTTGTTCTTGCTCTGTATTCATTGCAGGAGGAACAAAGCACTTATTCAGGAATTAAGTGTGCCTCGGCCGGGTACAAAAGACCTTTACTTCCCGACTCAATACTCGCAATCTTTCCTCGTCCAATGCATGGCTTGTCTGTGGAAACAACACTGGTCATACTGGCGGAATCCACCTTATACAGCTGTCAGATTTTTGTTCACGACCTTCATAGCCCTCATTTTCGGGACAATGTTCTGGGATCTTGGCTCTAAATGGTACATTGAACTAGAATAGGCTAAATTAGAAAGTTCAATCTCGTCGTCCTTTTGTTAAGTACAATTTTCTAATTCTTTCGGGATGTCATGTGATGCAGGAATACGCAGCAGGATCTGATTAACGCTATGGGTTGTATGTACGCCGCTATCATCTTTTTGGGATCTCAATACGGGTCAACAGTACAACCTGTGGTGGCCGTTGAACGAACTGTCTTCTATAGAGAAAAAGCAGCTGGAATGTATTCAGCCTTACCGTATGCATTTGCACAGGTGAGCAACTATCAGTGTATGTTCGATATGAAGGACATGTACTGATTGAAATCAGATTTTCTGATACAACTTCACTCCCATTGCAGGTTCTAATTGAAGTTCCCTACGTCTTCGTACAAACACTTGTATATGGTCTTATTGTCTATGCTATGATGGGACTCGATTGGACAGCTGAAAAATTCTTCTGGTTCTTATTTTTCTTCTTCTTCTCGTTGATGTACTTCGTCCTCTATGGAATGATGACTGTGGCCGTCACTCCTAATCACAACATTGCTGCCATTATCTCGTCTTTCTTCTATGCAATTTGGAATCTCTTTTCTGGATTTATCGTCCCACGACCTGTAAGTATTACCAACCCAATTTTTCAATAGCGCGATCAATGAATACTAGCAAATTATGAACACTAACAAATTTCATCTTTCCTTTTGCTCAGAGGATCCCTATCTGGTGGAGATGGTATTACTGGGCAACTCCAGTTGCTTATACCTTGTATGGTATAATAGTATCACAATTTGGAGAGATTCAGGATGTCATGGACTCTGGTAGTACAGTAGAAGAATTCTTAAAAGATTACTTTGGGTTCGAACGCAGTTTTCTTGGAGCCACTGCTGGAATAATTCTTGCTTTCGATGTCCTTTTTGCCTTCATCTTTGCCTATTCTATCAAGGCATTCAACTTCCAAAGGAGATAAAAGATGGTCTCAATTCCACAAGAATTTGTTAGTTTATTACACTCAGTCCTATATCATAAAGTTTTTCATGTGTATTATGTGTTTTACTCGTATAATTTACCTTGTAACAATACGTTTGTTTTTCTCTTTAAATTGAATAATATCATGTATTTTTCTAGTTTTTGTAATGTATATGGGCATAATCTTGCTTATAGAATCAATGAAAAATAAGGAATTTCCGAATCTCATATTAGTTACTTCCGAATGCTATCAAACCAATATCTCTGAAGATGCATTTATGTTCTTCCCTGATCAATTTACACATGTTTTCATTTTTAATTTTTACGCGACCATAGCCAACGAAAGTCCATTGGCTAAATTGATATAGCCGCTCAATCTTTTTTGAAACTCATTTTTAATTTGTTGTAATCGAATTAGATAATGTTACGTATGTAGATGGCCACTACATGTCCTCCACCAACAATCAAAGAGAATAATATTGTGATTGTCAATTGTATGTTGTCTCTATTAAATCCTTTTGTAAAAGTTGGTTGAAACTCACGATTGTATATGTGAATTATCGGGTGATCACCTCATTTGATTCTAAGAAGCCCTCTTCAATATCATGGGTTCTGAAACTTTTCACGAGTCGCTACTACTAATGTAGCAGTTAAGGAAAAGAAAAACTTACAGTTTGCTCCCGTGATATCATTTAAGAAACTTCGTCATACACCAATCTAAAAATGGTATCAAAATCTTATATCCAATTTCACATCCAAATTATGAAGATTTTGGCGAGGGAAGTGGGGTGGAAAGTAAGCGGACATTGAAAAGGGGATGGGATGCAAACGGATATCAAAAATTGTATGACATGGGATATTCAGATATGCGAGAAGCAAGCTAAAATACAATTTATCTTGACTAGTTCACGCTTTTTTAAAAAATATTTTTGGTTCGTGCTGGTCAAAAGACAAACCAACACAACCCATTATCACCTCTAGGATACAAGAAAATTTTACCTTAAAATGTTTGACATGATTTTTAAATAAAGTGAACATAATAGACTTGAATGAAGTCTGAGAGTCCAAAATATTGTATAAATTTTTTTGTTTAACTATGTCGAAAATCCTAAACCATACCATCCAAAATTTAAAAAATTAGATCTTTGTACTCCAGCCACCGCCAATGTCCATATTGGTCGTCGTCACAATCAACATATCGTCATCACCTCAAATTCATTACCATCATAACCACCTTCACACTAAATTCACAGCAAATCCACCATCCAATAGATTTTACCTGATAAAGATTACCTGCACCACTATCAATGGTGGCATAGAACTGATAAAGATTACGTGCACCACAAATCCACTATCCAAAATATTTCAAAACAAGATTTGTATACTCCGATCACTAAATGCTGAAGTGAAAAAGTGGCAGGCTAGGGCAAGGGAACATGAGGTCATGACGTCGACGATGCCAGGCCCGATCCTGCCTAGAGGCAGATGAGGCCCGCGCCTCAGGCCCAAAATCAAAAGGGGCCTCATAATGCTAGCCCAATTTATTTTTTCTTTGAACAATGGCCCAAAATCTAAGGGGCCTCTTTTTTTAATTTTGGGATAATTAGGTACGAAACCCTAAAAAAATTAAGTATTTGATTAATACCTTAAAACTAACTTAAACTACTATTATCGTATTAATTACGTTCAAAACATTGACACCCACAACAAAAACCCAAATTAGAAGGGGGAATCCTTGCATCAGTAAACTCTCGAGAAACCTTCATTCCCGACTCCGACTCCGACTTGGACTCCAGTATTCTTGTAGAGAGAAAACCTTACCCACCAATTTAATGCTGTTGCATCTTTGTAGTTTTAACGAGAGTTTCCCTTGGGACAATTGGGTGATTTTGGGGCAAACTTTGAGCGAAAACTTTTCGTGCTCTGTAAAAGCTTGAATTTGGCAAATCTTTATCGATATTTGGTCGATTTTATCAATGGTCAAAGTAGGTAAATGAATATCATGAATCAAAGTCATCAAAGAGAAATTCTGGGAGTATAGAAGGAAATTCAAACTTGAAGAATTACACTCGTGAATTTGAAGGTAATTTTGAATACACTTTATTTTTGAGGTTGAACTTTGAATTTTAGTAGTTTTTTGGTTTACATTAAAAAAATTGTCATTAAATTTTGGATTAGCTCCAGAATTAAATGGTACTCTTTCCCTTTGATTTTTTATGATACCATCAAGGTGTTTGACAAAATGTCTCAATTGTCATGAAATGGACAAAACTTCCTTAACATTTGTAATTTTTTATTTGTGAATATATTGTACTCATTTAAGAATATTTATATTAATGCATGATGTTCTATTCTATTCTTTAATAAGGAAATGGTCCGAGGTTTTTTTCTCTCCCCCACAATTTTCCTAATCTCTGTCTAGTAATTTTCAACCTCTCCTCCACCTCCAATGGTTGCTTCAGGTTTTTTCCCTTATTTTTCTCATTATTTACAATTTCATTGAGCCAGGATGGCCTTCTTCTAGAGCTTTTCTTCTGTTCCATTGCTTGGCCTCCTGTCTCTCTTCCTCACCACCACCCTTGGCCACAGCCCTCACAATGACCAGCCTCCGCTTTCGAAAGCCATCCATCACCGCAGTTGATGTCCCTATTTTCAGCGTAGACTTTTTCAAAATGGTGAGACGTGGATCAAAGTAAATAATAAATACTTTTTAATGGGCATTCTCTAAGTTTTTGCAATCCATGCAATGAAATTGAAAGTGGAGGGTAAAGTTTGGGAGTAATATTTATTACTTTTGTCTGAAAATTATTGGAATTCCTGCATTGATATTTGTTCCATTTGATAGGATTTTCCTGAGTGATTTAAGATGTATGTGGTGGAGAGTAGAGGAGGATGTTAAAGCACACAACCTGTGATTTTAATGATCCTGGATAGGCTTGGTTGGATTCACCATCAATCAGGTTTGGCATTTTGCACAATTGGAATGAAATGGATCTTGAAATGGTGCTGTCCCGGGCTTACATGTGGCACATGATGTTCAATAAGTCTCTGAGCCACCTAGCTGGTTGAAGAGCAAGTAACAATATTTGTAAGATGGGCCTTTTTGTGTTACCTTTATTTGAAGTTTTCACAGATTTGTTTCTGTGAAGAATTTCAGTTCTCCGTTCTGTATTATGATTTGTAATATTTGTGTTCCTGGTTACTGAAGAAAAGGGAAAGGGAAAATAAACTCTGATGTCCATTTGTTGATGATATTCAATTGGCATGCGTTAGTTTAATTCATATTTATTGAGATAGATCCATAATACATTTTGTTTAAACTTTTGATTTCAATCTTGTAAAGACATTGTGGGGGAAGTTTTCGATTCTGGTTAGTAGTTTTGTGGCTACAGCAGTGCTGTTAGATGTGTGATTGAAGGAAGGTTGATGGGTTTGGGTCGATGTGGTTGTGGTGGTATGTTGTGGCAGGTGGCAAATTTTTTTAGTAGAAATCTGCTTTGTACTTATTTGCTTTGGAGCATGTTACATATACATCAAGACCTACATAATGATTTATATAATGCTACATGATACTTTATCATTGGATAATTTTCTATAATATATTTGGTTGTTGTTTTAATGTTAATTTTTCAAGTTAATAATGGGACGCATAATACATTATTGAAGTTTGCATTTACGTTGATTTCGATGGAGGCCTAATTTCCAGACTTCGCCTCAAGCCCGAGAATCACAGGACCGGCTTTGGACGATGCTACAGGCGTCTTTATTTTGGGGTCAGTTCTATGCCACCATTGAGAGAGATTGTCGAAGATATTGGATTTAAAAGGAGTAGAAAGAGAAATGGTGATCCCATCTTTTGCTACAGAGAAAAAAATGGTTAGAGAAAGGGAAAGGGTACTTCGTTTTCTACTGAGAAAGTAGGAAGAGAAATGGATAAAGAGATAGAGAAAGGGGAGAGTAAAGAGACAAAATGGTTAGAGAGACAAATGGTTCGTTTTCTACAGAGACAATATAGATAAGAGAAATGCTATTTGGACAAGGTCATTTGCATTTTTCTTAGGTAATTGGCATAAAACGTTCCTAATTTTCAAGTTTATTGTGAAAAATGTTCCAACCTTTCATTTTTTGACATTTTCGCCCCCACCTTTTACATTTCTCTACGTAGAAGGTCATTTTCATTAGTTTTTGATGATTTTACTCTCTATTCAAATAAAACAAAAAGAAAAAAAATAACTAATTGTAATAATAGTTCCAAATTTTCAAAAAAAATACAAATCGGTCACAATTTATTGTGAACTAAAAAATTTTAATATTACCCCAAAAAAAAGAAAAAAAAGAAAAAGAAAACTTCAATGTACAAAGAAATAATCAAGAAATAGAGAAATATTTGAACCATAGCCAATGAAACTGAAAATCCTCAAAAATGGGTAAGCATAAATCTCAAATTTTATTAAGTGAAGAGTAGATAAAAGGTTTGAGACAAAAATCACGTAATCTTCAAAATTTTTCATTTCCATTGGTTATGATTAAAAAATTTCTCATTTTCTTGATTATTTCCCTATACATTCAAGTTTCTTTTATCTATTTAATTTAAATTTTTTTAGTTCACAATAAATTATGATTGATTTATAATTTTTTAAAAAAATTTAAAAATATGATTGCAATTAATTCTTTTTTTTTTCCTTTTCTTTTTGTTTCATTTCAATGGAGGGTAAAATCGTTAAAATGACCTTCTATGCAAAGAAATGTGAAAGGTAAGGGTAAAAATGTCAAAAAATGAAAAGTATGAATGTTTTTAACAATAAACTTGAAAGGTATGGACGTTTTGTGCCAATTACCCTTTCTCTTAATCCATTGGCTTTGGGAGTTGAAACTAGAGAAAATTAGGCATCTATTCAATTATAATTAAATAAATTGAAATATTTAGATCGTCTTATAATTCTAGAAAGCACTAACTAACCTACGTATTTGACAGGTTTATTGAGTTAACATATATTTTTAAAAATAATTAAAAGAAGTTTCTTAAATTACTCGACTAATAATAAAACCACCATATTTTAGGGTAGCGCTATTTTCCATCCATACTTTTTATAAGTATATCACACTTTAAGTTCATCCTTAATTTAAAAAAAAACATTATTTACATCCACGTTATCTTAGAATCTTGTCCTTACTAAATTCATTAATTTAAATAACATATATCCACATAAATTTTATATATTCATCTC